TCATTGGACCGAAAGGACTGCTGAGGAATACGACACGAATACTGGCCACACATCACATGGAATTCCTTCGCGAAGCCGATCACATACTGGTGTTGAGTGAGGGAAGGGTTGTCGAGTCGGGCGGTTATGACGAGTTGGCTGAGAGGGGATTGCTTTCCGACCACGAGTTCAATGAGTCGGACAATCAGCCCAAAGGAAGTGGGGATCAGATGTCGAGACAGACCTCTCGAGTCAGTGAAAGTGAATCCACGGGACAATTATTGAGACAAATTTCAATGACTCAAGAAAATGATCAAAAGATAACCGAAAATGAAGTGAAAAATAGTCAACTCATTGATAAGGAGACAGAAAAGTTCGGATCCATTAAAATAAGTGTATATTTGGATTATTTGAGACGAATTCCTCTAATCTACACATTAATCCCATTCATGTCTGCCTTTCTATTCAATGCGTGCGAAGTCGGGGCCAACTTCTGGCTTAACATCTGGACGACACATAACTCAACACAAGTGGACAACAATTTCTACTTAAGTGTCTATCTGTCGGCCATAGTATTGGAAGCCTTGTTTGTCCTCACCTTTCAGATGATGCTGAGGACGGGCGCCGTAATCGCCGCCGGAGTGCTCCACAAAGACATGTTGTCATGTATTCTGCGAACCCCTCTGTCCTTCTTCGATGTGACCCCTTTGGGACGAATCTTAAACCGATTCAATCGCGACTTCGAGCAGATTGACGTACGAATACCCTGGTGTTTGAGTGAAGCCCTGTTTCAAATCATTTATTTCTTGTATATCGTGGCAGTCGTTATATACATGAACGCCTACATGACTATCCTTATACTTATTATCGTCATTGTATTCATTATTATTTATGTAAGATATAAGAAAATAGTTTTTATATATTTCTAGTTTTTATATATTTTATATATTTCTGTTTAATTTATTTATTTTAGAGAATCTATTTGTGGACTTCGAGACAATTAAATCGTTTAAATTCCATCACTCGGTCACCGATTTATAGTCACTTCAATGAAAGCATTTCCGGTGCCGTCTCCATAAGGGTCTATAAAGTGCAGCAATTGTTTACCGAAAAGTTACACAATTATATCGATGTGAACGTTAATATCCAAAAACATCTCTTCTCTACAAAGATATGGTTAGTATGGATCAGATAAAAGTAAATATTTCTTAAGCCTTGTTTTGTATTGCGTTTAGGATTAACATCTGGACCACAATTATTGGGTTATTAGTCTCATTCTCCACCTCATTGTATGTGGTGTTAGAGAGGGATAACATAACCCCAGGATTTGCCGGATTTGTTCTCATCTATTCAGTGAATGTCATCGAAAATATTTCATGGGCTCTAAGAATGGTTGGTTACCTCGAGACGGAAATGGTTTGCGTTGAAAGAGTCAAAGAGTATTCACAACTCGAACCGGAATATAGTTGGGAATCAACGGATGCTAACAAACCCTCTGATGTCTGGCCCCGAAGTGCTTCCATAGAGTTCATCGATTATAGCGCTTCCTATAGACGAGGACTCGAACCGGTTCTCAAGAACTTGAACTTCAGGGTAGAGTCGGGAGAAAAGGTGGGAATAGTTGGCCGGACGGGCGCC